TGAGTGGGGTAAGCGTGACACTGTTACACTTGAACATGTTAGTTTTATAGCGAGGTAAGTGTAACTGTAAAGATATTTTAAGGAATAGTGGATTTCAGTTTACAAAGACATATCAAATCTAAAGCCCTTATATTAATTTGTATGACTTGCCTTTTATCTTGTCGATATAACTCGTAAACTTCACACAGTAACTAAAAACAGAATGCTTGAATGGAATGCGATCTGTTGTCAGTTGAGTAGTTAGACAAAATGTTGTCTGTCGATAAAACAGTTGACGTTACGTACGCCATTGTGACACTGTAAGATAGCTTGAAAGTTCCTTTATTGTCCAAGACATGACGGTTTGAAGAATATAGTCTATTTACCCTATTATTACCAATTGTTACACTTGCCTCACTGTCACACTTGCCTCGGTTGACCTTATAGCATTCTCTCCCAATCAACCTTTAGCAAAACAGAAATGTAATTATGCGATGAAATAAATTGAAAATTGTTGTTAGATAAACAGTTACATATGTATTTATATTGACTCACAAATTATATAATATATATAATGGAGAACTACTGCATATTATGATCAAATACATAAATATATTTACATGAATACATTAAACAAATATTATTTACATATACAAATATAAATCATATAAATATGCATGCATATACTATAATATATTATAATATCAATAAAACAATGATAGAGATAAGGTGATGATGATGATGATTAACTGCTTTTACAGCTTCTTCAGAAGAGATTCGTAGATTTTATTTTCAAAAGCAAATTTGTTAGACACTTGTCTCAGGTCAATGGGTAGCTCATTCCAGAATAGTGTATTAATACATTTAAAAATTTATATACATATCGGTCACACCTGTCTCCCATTAGGGTACCAGAGGGAGACTTTGTACAAACGTCGATTGCTTGGGTACCTCTGTCCCATTCGTGTTTCAACCGTGAAGCAGTTGTGTTTGCATGGCTGTGTTTCGGTTTGAAGCGTGGGATATGGTGTGAATGTATTGGGTACAGAGCAATAACACCTGAGTCCTCAGGAGTAGCAACGCATTGGGGTTATCATGGGCGAAACAGTATACTCTATTATGTCTACGGTACTGCTCATGTCTATAGGCGACGGTTACCACTTTCCATCAGGTAGGCCATCAGCTTGTTTGCCATTCTAACGACTTTTGTACAAAGTCTTTTGCTTGGGCACAACACTTTTTGGGCTTTGGTTTAACACTGGTAATACACCTGGAATTTACTTTGGCACGATGGTTTTCAGGGAGCATCACGTGGAGGTCGATTTGATAGGGTATATTGCTGGTAATGAGACTGATAGTTGACGATACTAACAATCCCTTCCCTCCCGAATTCCCTCCGATTTGGATGATCCATTACTACACAGTAAGCCAGTGTATTGGGGAACTGGTTTGACCCTTAACTGCCTGATGTTTGTCCCAACACTAAATTAGTAGTGGGAAAGGGATTGTTAGTAATGAGCAGGTAGTTGGTATTCCTTATTGCTATCAATACGCCTTATCAGATTGACCTCTAGTGTATACTGATAGCGTAGGCGGGGTTACCATTCCATTATCATCCATTAAAAAAACAAAAAAAAAAAACACTAAATCAGTATGTGATCGTATCAGTGTCAGATAGATACTCTTTATTGTTTCTTCCAAAAAGGTGATCATAATGAATTCCCCGTTATTAGCAGTCCTTAGTAACGTGTTGTTAGACAAGTATGTAATAAATATCTAATAGTAAGGGTGAATGGGTAACTCGGTCGAGGGCATTCTCATCGAATGTACGTAGATATATCAGCTTGCAATAATTCACGGTAGATACCCACTATATATGAATATATAACTTAGGTATAGAAAGAAATCCGATGAATAACGCAGTGTAGGACGACCCTTCACTAGATGGAGTGACGACCTGAATACATTGCAGGGAGTCAGTGGATGCAGGTGGGTCAGGACCGTTCTTTATGGCAGTCTATGGGGTAGGCTTATGTCCAGCAGTGGACGAATAATGGCTGAAATGATGATGATTATTATTATTATTCTTAGTAATATTATAAATGTGTAAGTTTATTTGTTTGTTTATTGCTTTAACGGCTTAACCAATTACTATGAAATTTAGTATACACGTATTATATGGGATGAAGAAGGATCATATAAGCCTTTAACTGTCCGCTGTTGAACTACACTTTTTCCATAAGAAACGGTTTTACCAGTAGTTGCTACGCTTGGCAGGCGAGTTGGCAACCGTAGTTAGGCTTTTGGTGGTGTTTAAAGAGGGACGCTGCTGCTCATCCCTCGCCCTCCCTTAGTCGCCTCTTACGACACCCACGGGAAAGGAAGGGGTGGCCTATTCTATGCTGGGATCACACGGCAACCATGGAGAAGGATTTAGGTTATTTTTTATCCCGGTCAGTGAACATATCCCGGTCTTGCATAGTACAGTAGCGGTAAAAATTTGTAAATTATAAAAGCGTTTGTAAATTATAAAAGTTTTTGTAAATTATAAAAGCGTTTGTAAATTATAAAAGCGTTTGTAAATTATAAAAGCGTTTGTAAATTATAAAAGAGTTTGTAAATTATAAAAGAGTTTGTAAATTATAAAAGCGTTTGTAAATTATAAAAGCGTTTGTAAATTATAAAAGAGTTTGTAAATTATAAAAGCGTTCATCATCATCTTCCTACCCTTATCCCAATTATTATTTGGGGTCGGCGTAATATGGTTTCATCCATATTGCTAAAAGATTTGGCTTATAGTTTAACGACCGGCCGCCTGCCTGACGTCAACCCTCTTTGGGAATGTATAGTACACTAGCGGTTAAAAGTTAGTAAATTATAAAGTCGTTTATCATCATCATCGTCATCATCATCTTCATCATTTCAGCCATTATTTGTCCACTGTTAAATTGTTTATACATTGGTGTATTTAAATTTGTTCTCCAGGGAGGGTCTAGTGTTTAAAAAAAGGGCATATGTACTTTTTTTTTATGGGTGAAAATGGTATGGTAACTCCGCTTGCGCTAATGGGATACGCTGGCGGAGCACCAGTGAAGGGTGATCGATGAGAATGAAAACAGGCCAGTTAGCCCATCATGATGAATTCATAAGGAATTAAACATGATAGTTTCCAGGAAGAACCGCGAGGAGGTCAACATAACAGGGTATATTGCTAGCAATGGGATTCTTAGTCTCCGTTACTAACAAGCCCTCCCCCCTCCCCCGGCAAACGTACTTTGAGCCATATCTTTTCGTAAAGTTCCACTTGCATCTAGGGTGGGCACCGGACATTTCTTGGGTGGGCATGGTCCGTTTGGCTCCCTTATTATGGTCACATAGAGGGCCCTATTGCGTCCATAGTACACTTATAATAATTGAGTATATGTATAAAAAAATCGCTCATATCTGTCTCGTCCGTATCGCAAGCCGTTTCCAAGAGTTTAAACGTGGCATACCGTATGATGAAACACCCCCTAGGGGTCAATCGAGTACGTACTGGTTAGTCACGAGACCCGCGGCAGATAACAACTGTACTTATGCATTGATAATATAGGTCTCTATTGACGCTTTTTGATTATGAGTGTTTATATCGAAGTATTTATTTTCTACTAACTTCTGTGCGTATCAAATTCAGTTATAAAATCGATTTAGTAGTTTAGTTTTGAAGTCAAACTTCAAAACTGAAGTACTACATCGATTTTGATAAAATTTCTATAAAAACACTTTGTAAGTATATCCTTTCAGAATTTCCAAATCCGTTTATAGCTGACATAGTTGTGAGATAATAAAATTTAAAAAAGATACAGTGAACGCTCTATATAAACGAACTCTTTATATGCAACATACATTATATTTTTCCCAGCTTAGTTAGTAAAAGAAATAAGTAAAAATATTTTCCAGTAAGTATTTTTATACTCCCTTTTTTCCTATAAGAAACTTTTTTATTAAAATTGGTTCAAATGAGTTGCTTATATAGAGCGTTCACTGTATAATCGAATCGAGAACCTCCGTTTTGAAGTCGGTTGAAAAAATATGTAACAGGCAATTTGGTTTCAGGATTGACACACGAATGCGGTGTTTTCGGCGCGATCGGCACCGGCGATTGGCCGACGCAAGTGGATGTCGCGCAGGTCATATGTTTGGGGCTCGTGGCGCTACAGCACAGGTAAATAATTGGCTACTGATTTCTTTTTACGATGGTAAATGGCAAATAGTAGTTTTTCCCTTACAATATTATTATTAATTTGCTCTTTATTGCACAATACAATTTTATACAAGTGACGAGCTTAATACCATATGGCCATTCTCTAGCAGAAAAAGGCGTATGAAGGGCAGTGACAGTATAGAGTTAAAAAAAACGTACCTACAACATTTAAAAGGCCAATAACACACAAGCTTTCCTCACCTTCTCATGTTACTAGTGTTCATGGGCCATGGTAGCCACTTCCCATCAGGTGGATCAGCTTGTTTGCCTCCCTAACTGTAAAAAAATATGTCCAAGCAATTTTTTAACATAAAATTTTATTCTATCGTCATAATCATCTCAGCCATTATCAGTCCATTGCTGGGTATAAGCGTCCCCCATAGACTGCCATAATGAACGGTCCTGAACCACCTGCATCCACTGACTTCCTACTATTATTTTATTTTATTCTATATTGTGCCACTATTTTTTTGTGATTAATAGAATAAACATGTATGTTTGTTCTGGTATTAAGTAAATATTATTGCACCAACTTGAATATGGTTTTCACAGCTGCTTTTCTGAAGGTCTAATTGAAAACTGGTGTATGGTTTATCTTGATGCGTCTTCTAGAAGTAGTCTGTTTTATATCTGCTTCCAAAATTCACGCATACGAAGTCGTGGGCACAAACTAGTTCTATTTCTATTGTATTATTAATCCATACTGTCCCACTGCTGGGCAATCTGCCCTATCCCTTTCCAAAAGTTAGTTATAAATATATATAATCTTGTATAAGGTAATCGTTAGTCGGGGGGAGGGGGATGGGGGAAGGGATTGTTAGTAATGGAGACTGAGAATCCCATTGCTAGCAACATAGGAGGTCGACCCAACCAGGTCGACCTCCTCGCGGTTCCCCCTGGAAACTATCATGGTTAATTCCTGATGAATTCGTCATGATGGGCTAAATGGCCTGTTTTCAATCTCATCTATCACCCTTCACTGGTGCACCGCCAGCGTATCCCGTTAGCGCAGGCGGGGTTACCATTCCATTTTCACCCATAAAAAAAAAGTCGTTGGTCGGGGGTGGGGGTGGGGGTGGGGGGAAGGGATTGTTAGTAATGAAGACTAAAGGCTCTATTGCTAGCAATATACCGAAACTGGTTCTCCCCGTGGTTCCCCCTGGAAACCATCATGCTGAATTCCAGGCATATTCATCACGATGGGTTAACTGACCTGTCTTTTTCATTCTCATTTGTCATTCAGCACCAATGGCCCGCCAGCGGATACCGATAGCGCAGGCGGAGTTAACATTCCATTATCATACATTAAAAAAAAACATGTTGGTCGGGGGCACGTCATGCCACCTAGCGGGGATGGTGATCTGACGAATTGTACTGTCCGGTTTTGATAGCTGATAACCTGTGTACAGATGACATTGTGATTAAACATTTGGCAATCATTTATGAAGGTTTTTGAGGTTAGATTATAAGAAAAATAATTGCTTTATTTATTTATTTATTTATTCTTTATTGCACAATAAGACTTTGTACAAATGGCGAGCTTAATGCTATATGCTGCTGCGTGTTCAATACAATAATGTTTTCAGGGTGTTGTTACGGCTGCCACGTTTTTGTAGTGCATCCGCAATGTTTGCAGCGGCATGGACAGATGACTTCTATGCCATCAGACGCAAATGGATCGCATCTCTTTTATACCGATAGCGTGGCAGCAGTAACAGCACTCTGTGGGCATTGTGTAATAAATACGATAGCCCGATGCTCTCAATGTGGGTCAAAATTATTATAGGGGCCATAAAAATAATTTTGTATTTTTTTTCTACTAACATAGTTTAAGTCAATTGTTACTAACAAAAATGGATCTAAGTAATCTATAATAAAGAAATATTATTATTATATGGCATTCTCTACCAGCTAACCATTGGGTAAAAACAGAAAGCGTATGAAGAGCAGATATGGTGAAAAATATATGAACAACTTCAACAATTGTTGTTGTTAATTTCACTAGAGATATATCTTTTTTTTTATTTAACTTAGAATGGCTTCAATAAGCTGACGGCCATACTATACGCCATATATAGATATATGTTTTTATTGATATACAACACCGGGGCAAACGAGCATGCGGCTCACCTGGTGGTAAGTGACTACCGCTGCCCATGATCACCCACAACACTAACGGCATTGCAGGTGTGCTGTCGGCTTTTTAAAATGGAATATGCTCTTTTCTTGAAGGTTATGTTGTCGTATCGGTTCAGAAATATTGCTGCTGGAAGTTGATTACAAAGAGAGAGTTTTAATTAATCGAAAACTGTTGTTTGAACAGAGGACAAGAGTCAGCCGGCATAGTGACGTCAGAAGGCAAAAGCGCGCGCACATTCAACTCTCACAAAGGCATGGGACTCATCAACAACATCTTCAACGATGAAGCTATGAAAAAACTAAAGGGGAATCTGGGCATTGGACACACGAGGTAAATTCAGTCTTTAATACAATTTTATTTATTTAACTACTAGCGGCCCGTCCCGGCGTCGCACGGGTGGACATTTTTACTTTTAAAAAAGTGGCCATTAAGGCTGCACACGCGACGGAAGCTTAAAAATGGAGTAACTTCTCCCGTTTTCCCAACATCTCCCTTCACTACTCTGCTCCTATTGACCGTAGCGTGATGAAAAGTATACTATAACCTGCCCAGGAGTATGAAGAATACCAAGTTTCGTTAAAATCCGTCGAATAGTTTTTGTTTCTATAACGAACATACATACAGACAGACAAAAATTTTACTGATTGTATTTTTGGTATCAGTATCGATCACTAATCACCCCCTGATAGTTATTTTGGAAATATATTTCATGTACAGAATTGACCTCTCTACAGATTTATTATAAGTATAGATTGCACCAGAAACATAAAAATAAATAAATGACAATTATAAACAATTCAAGTGAAATACAGTAGTATAAAGTACAAATCAAAATATAGCGCCATAAAAATACAAAAGGTGGTCTTATCGCTAGAGCGATCTCTTACAGACAACCTATTTAATTAATAATAATAATTTATTTATTTGCTAGAAATGTGGTTATAATAATGGTCTTAAATATAATAGATCTACACATTTCGCCTTATCTAAAGGCATGCAAATTTAGTATTATAATTTAGTGGCTTACGTATATTAATAGCCTACAAGGATCAATCCATAAATATTGGCAGCCGCACACATACTAATGGTAGCAGACTAAATAAATACAAATACAAACTAAACAAAAACAAATACATAACAAGTCAATAATATAACAAATGTCATACAATACAAATGAATTACACATTTACATACATTCATTCTTGTCTATGATATTATGAAATAACAAATTTTAAAATTAGAACTATCGATTTTTTTCATCTCCACATATATATCGTAGATTTTTTTTTTTTTATTGTTATGTAGTCTTTTACAACATTTCATTCATCAATTTTTCATAAATCAATTCTGAACCGATTTACACCATTCTTTTTGTAATATATAGACGTACGATTGATAGGTACATGTTGATATTCTGTGTTAGTACAATAGGTATTAATTTTATGACGACAGAAGCAGATTTCTCTCTCTGTTCTTCCTTTTTTTTTCTTTTGGTCCACCTGATGGAAAGTGGTAACATAATATAAATAATGGAAATTATATTGCAATTATTTTAAATTATAAATAAATATAATGCAATGGCGAGGTACGTCAACATTTTAATTTAGCCATGAACACAGAGCGACTATCGTTATGAATATCAAGTTCAGGCTTGGTTTTTGCAATATCATTATTTCTTTTATTTATACTTTATTGTACACACTAGTAAAACATAAATAAATAAATAAATTGTTAACAGGTACTCGACGTCAGCAGCGTCAGAGGAGGTGAACTGCCAACCGTTTGTGGTGCACACAGCGCACGGTGCCCTCGCGGTCGCACACAACGGGGAGCTCGTCAACTGTAGCAGTCTCAGGAAGATGGTGAGTGCGCGCTGGTTATAGCTACTTTTATAACAGGTGGCGCCATCTGGTGTTTTTATATTGTGCATTGTAGCAATGTTGCAGTGAGTTAGTGAATGCAGGTGGCTTAGGATTGTTCCTTATGGTAATCTATAGTCGATTGCTTGGCTACCTCTGTTCCATTCGTGTTTCTACCGTGAAGCAGTGAGACAGGGACAGAGGTACCCAAGCAATCGACTTTTGTACAAAGTCTCCCTCTGGTAAAATTTAATTTAATTCCGTTCTTTCGATTTTGCGCGAAAGAGTAACAAATATCTACCCGTCCATTAATCTTTACAAAGTTTCTAATAATATTAATAAATATTCATAGAATAATAGGATATGGAAGGGAGTTTCTTTGTTTCTTTGTTACCTCTTTGTATTTTAACGGCTTGACCAATCACATTGAAATTTTATATACACGCACTTTATTGGATGAATAAGGACGAAGGTTACTTTTTATCCCGGTTTGTGAACATGGACAACGTGGACAAAGTCGCGGGTAAAAGCTAGTATATATTTGTATAGTAATTTTTAATATTTTTAATATTTGCTTCATACGCAGGTACTCGGGCGAGGAGTCGGCCTCTCAACACACTCGGACTCGGAGCTCATCACACAAGCGTTGTGCCTGAACCCGCCTGAGGGCGAGACCAATGGACCCGACTGGCCAGCTAGGATCAATCACCTAATGAGGTATGTTGCAAATTGTTATTACCAATTATTGTATGTAATTTATCAGATTCATATTTGGTTCGTTCACGAGTATGACTGATCGGTGACGGATATGTCATACTAGTGAACGGATGCAGCAGCTTATGTGGGACTTTCCTAGTGTCTAATAATAAAATTCATGAATATTAAAAAGTACATAAATACTGCTATAAATGTATATCATTCACGAGAAATATTTTATATATATATACATATACACAAATACATACATACATATACACATGTACATACATGCATATAAACATCTACACAAATACATAAAAATATATAAATACTGCTCACACGTATACGTAAAACACGAAATCTTTTAGATGTCTGATGAAATAAGTATGCTAACTAGACATAAACAAATTATATATATATATATATATATATATATATATATATATATATATATATATATATATATATATATATATATATATATATTGTCACGATCTTACGCGTAACTACGGTTACCACCCCGTCTGCCAAGCGTGGCAATTACTAGTAAAACTCTTTTTATGAGAGAGGGACAGGTAACAGCAGATATGATGATGTCACTTTCTTTTAAATTGAAATGACAAAGGGAATAGACAAAACTGCCATAGATTTAGGCTTATAAAATAAGTGTGTAACTGTATAGATTAATTCATTTTTCTTATTATGCATCCTGGATATTCAAGATAATGTCATTCTATCATACGATTGGGTAAGTAGGTATGTATAATGTATAATGTATGTATAAAGCTAGTGTTCATATTTAGTTTTATAAAAATCAAGTTGGAAGTTGCTGTAGGTGAATTGAAACGTCGAGGATCTTTTTTGATGGTTGATAATGGAATGGTAACCCCGCCCGCGCTAACGGTATACGCTGGCGGGCTACCAGGGGGGATGATAGGTGAGGGTGAAAAGGCAGGTCAGTTAGCCCACCCTGTCGAATTCCACTAGAATTAACCACGATGGTTTCCAGAGGGAACCGCGTGGAGATCGACCTGATAGGGTATATTGCTACTAATGGGCCCATTTTTCCCCATTACTAACAATCCCTTCCCCCTTCTGCAGATGTCCGTTGTCCGATTCCTTAAAACAGGGCATCCTAGCTTGAGAATCTTAGCTAGAAATATGATTGCGAACGCTCAGGCCATGGAATGATCTCCCTGACGAGGTTTTTTCTAGAGACTACAGTATATATATATATATATATATATATATATATATATATATATATATATATATATATATATATATATATATATATATATAGTTTTTTTCGGCCTCTCAAAGATTGTAAGAGATCTCGCTATATCAGGGATGACTAATCGGTACATTGGGGGGGGGGGGAGGGATTGTTAGTAATGGGGTCTAATTGATCCATTGCTAGAAATACTAAATCGACCTCCACGCGGTTCCCCCTGGAAACCGTCGTGGTGAATTCTAGTGGAATTCGTCACGATGAGCTAACTGACCTGCCTTTTCATCCTCACCTGTCATCCCTCACTGGTGCCCCGCCAGCGGATACCGATAACGCAGGCGGGGTTACCATTCCATTATCACCCATTAAAAACCGGTAGATTAGTCGACTATTAGTCCAGTCGATCGTGGCAAGGCAAAAAATATAATATTTTGCTAATCTAGCGGAAGATACTCAGACGCAATGCTCACACTAATATAAATAAGTAGTTACTGAGAATAATTTTCAGTTTCATGTTTTCCCTCTCAATAAAATAACAAATACTACAATACTACATAATTGTGAATTGAACTGTGTCGTTTCATTTGTGATTTCAAGAAGTATATAATTGGTAGATCGCACAGGGTTTCGTCAGTAAAACAGATCTTGGGTCTAATCAAGTCGGCCTTCTGCTCTATATAATAAGTCCGTCGTTGTATATTAAATCTTTTTAATATGTCCATTGTAAAGTACGTACAATTTAGTTCACAGGGGGGTAAGGGATTGTTAGCAATGGAGTTCGACATTGCTAGCAATATGCCCTATCAGGTCGATCTCCACGTGGTTTCCCCTGGAAACCATCGTGAACAATTCTTGTTGAATTCGTCACGATGGGCTAACTGACCTGCTTCATCCTCACCTATCATCCTTCACTGGTGCTCCGTCGGTGTATACCAATAGCGCGAGTGGGGTTACCATTCCATTATCACAAATAAAAAAAAAATAGTTCACATAGTAGTTCTCAGGTTATAATATTACGAATAAGGCAATGAACTTCTGATGTCAGCATAATTGCCCAGCACCTACAAGATAATGATAACCCACAAATTGTACTATCATGTATTATATAAAAAAAAAAACAAATAGTTGCTAAAACAACCTAAACACGAGACTGTTCAATCTATTTAATGTTTCATGATAATGTTCTTTTATGTATGTATTAACATTACCAGAGGATGACTTTGTACAAAAGTCGATTGCTTGGGTACCACTGTCCCGTTCGTGTTTCTACCGTGAAGCAGTTGTGTTTGCATGGCTGTGTTTCGGTTTGAAGGGTGGGATATGGCGTGAATTTACTGGGTACAGAGGAATAACACCTGAGTCCTCAGTAATAGCAACGCAGGGGAGTATCATGGGCGAAACAGTATACTCTGTTATATCAATGGTACTGTTCATGTCTATAGGCGACGGTTATCATTTTCCATCAGGTGGGCCGTCAGCTTGTTTGCCATTCTAAGTTGTATAAAAAAAAAAAAAAAACTTCACCATTGCATTTGTAATGAGTATTCATTATTCCTCATTCATATCATTAACTTAATGACAGCGTCCTTCTTAAAACCCCGGTAACACATCTGTAATTCCTCTGATGTTGCGGGTGTCTATGGGCGGCGGTATTCACATACCATCAGGCGAGCTCCATGCTTGCTTTTCGTTTATTATAAAAATTATAAATATAAATTCTATTCAATTATGCACCGCCTACGTATTTCTCGGTTTGCCCAATGGTTGACTGGTAGAGAACACCGTCCGATATAGGGAGAAAGGGATTGTTAGTAATGGAGACTGAGAATCCCATTGCTAGCAATATACCCAACCAGGTCGACCTCCTCACTGTTCTCCCTGGAAACTATCATGGTTAATTCCTGAATAATTCATCATGACGGGCTAACTGGCCTGTTTTCATTCTCATCTATCACCCATCACAGGTGCTCCGCCAGCGTATCCCGTTAGCGCAGGCGGAGTTACCATACCAATTTCACTCATCAAAAAAAAAACACCGTCTGATGTTAAGTCCGCCAAATGTACATAGAATTTTACTGTGCATTAAAGTTAAAATAAATAAATAAATTTCTCTTCCTATCAGGTTGGCCCCATTGAGTTACTCGCTGGTCATCATGCTCAAGGACAAGATATACGCCGTTCGAGATCCGTACGGAAACCGGCCGCTATGTCTTGGCAAGATTCTACCTCTCGGATCCTCCTGTTAGTATTACTCTTTTTTTTTATGGCTTCATAAAATAACCATCGTACTTATAAATAATAATTACTAATACATTATTCACCATAAACTTAATTGCGGTTGCCAATCTGAAAGCTGAACGGAAGCCTGCCAAAGGTGGCAACTACTGGCAAAACTCTTATGGATGGCTATGTTCAGCGGTGGACAGTTAACGGCTATTTAGTAGTCAGTTACTAAACTAAATTGACATTAATCTATACGGAAATTACTATAATGACTTACTTAGTAAGTCATATAAATTTTGTGACCGCCTAAAGGAGATATTTCGTGTTGGGCCCAATAATTGTACACTATTCGAGAAAATCGAGAAAAATACGAGGATTAACAGGAAAATATATAAAAAAACACAAAGCTTATGCTTATTTTTATATTTTTGAATATTTTCCGTGTTACGTTGCACATATCGTCTTAGTCGTAGAATACTGACGGATCTTTATATGTAATCTTCGTCAGATCCGTCAGTATTCTACGACTATGACGATATATACATTTGTACATTTACTTGCTTCTATCAAATTGTATGTATTATCAGTGTGTATCAAAGGGAGACTTTGTACAAAAGTCGTTTGCTTGGGCACCTCTGTCCCATACGTGTTTCAACCGTGAAGCAGTTGTGTTTGCATGGCTGTGTTTCGGTTTGAAGCGTGGGATATGGCAGTGAATTTACAGGGTACAGAGGAATAACACCTGAGTCCTTAGGAGTGGCAATCATGGGCGAAACAGTATACTCTGTTATGTGCATGGTACTGCTCATGTCTATAGGCGACAGTTATCTCTTGCCATCAGTTGGGCCGTCAGCTTGTTTGTCATTCTAAGTTGCATAAAAAAAAACAATATAGTATAAATAAATAAATATATAAAAATGTCGATAATTGAAATTCATTAAACGAAACAATTTGTTGTTGTAATTTAATTTTTATAATTACAATAACAAATTGTTATATATAAAAATGTGAGAAAACGTTCTGGGTTCGCTTATTTATGTATGTAACCTTATACATTGATTGGGACCACGTTCCATGGGTTATTGAAATATCTCCTTTATTTAGCTTTATTTATAGTCCTAAGTAAGTACCTAAAAGGGTAAATAAATATTAAACTATGTCATTTTATCATAAAGGGATTTCATACTTACTAATAATTGTACTATAAATGGGAATGTAAGATTGGCTGTTTGTCAATTTTATGGAACTACGATAGACTTTTAGCGTCAGTAAAATAAACCTTATTCCTTTACACGTAGAAAGCATTTTCTCTCGTGACACAGCAGTACAAAAATATTGTTTATGACAGCTTAGAAGCGACATAATTACTTGGATGTTATGAAAACTTTAATGGAATTAACCTTTTTTATTACTAATCTAATTATGTACTTATTCATAAAAACTGTAATCTACAAATTTATTTTAACCATTAATGTATTTTAAAAATATTTTTTCTCAAAAGAATAGACAAAATAGTTTTTTTTTTTTTTACTATTCAATAAATAAAGTAGTTGCTCTTAAAGTATCATTAAAGATTAACTGCGAGTTGCCAACCTGCCTATAAAACAGTGCCTGTGTTCAGCAGTGGACAGTTAGCGGATGATCATATCATCATGATCATGATGATGATGAAATAAAATAAATTTATTATTCATTTAAGGGTTTTAATTAAGATTATATAGATAGAGCGTTTCCATACAAATGCCGGGTCAACTTTTTCATACAATTTTGCGTGATAAATAGTTACGAGCGATTCCTTTATAACTTTTATATTTATTTTGTCTTATAATTTCTGCGTCTTTTTAATGCGTAAACACTTAGTTTAGTTATTAAATAATACGCCAAGATACATTTTATGCATAAGTATGTAGAATACTGGCAAAAAAAGGGTCAGCTAATTTGAAAATTAACTTACAAAAAGTTGACCCTTTTTTTGAGGTTCGATACTCTATCTATATAATCTAATAATTTTACCAGAGGGAGACTTTGTACAAAAGTCGATTGCTTAGGTACCTCTGTCCCATTCGTGTTTCTACCGTGAAGCAGTTGTGTTTGCATGGCTGTGTTTCGGTTTGAAGGGTGGGATATGGCAGTGAATTTACTGGGTACAGAGGAATAACACCTGAGTCCTCAGGAATGGCAACGCATGGGCGGTATCATGGGCGAAACAGTATACTCTGTTATGTCCATGGTACTGCTCATGTCTATAGGCGACGGTTACCACTTTCCATCAGGTGGGCCGTCAGCTTGTTTGGCATTCTAAGTTGTATAAAAAAAAATCTAAGGTTTTTAAAAATAAGTGTTTATGTTTGGAATACTTCAAGTTGCTCATTAAAATAATGTGTTTAAAAGAACATACCTTTTTTCAGATGCTTACAAACAGTCATCAGCTCAGCATGCCGCGGGTAATGCATGACTATTATATCATTACAGTGTGTGTGTGTGTGTGTGTGTGTATTTGGACATTTGTATACATGGATGACTCGGCTTGATTGATTCATTTTCATAGTATTATGAAATAGTCGTTGAATCTCAAAAGATGCAACGTACAGTATTTTTTTTTAATGAATCAGTAAAGAGTTTTCATTCATTCATTCATTCAAATGTACAGTGTGGTTAATATTAACATTAAATGAATTAATAATAATAACTTGTACATTCATGTATAATATAAAAAAAAAAAACAAAAAAGTGTGGTAAAATCTTAATTTATCAGGGGGCACGATAGTGTCCCCTCCAAGGCAGCCGTACTAACCTTTTCGACGATATATATATATATATATATATATATATATATATATATATATATATATATATATATATATATATATATATATATATATATACACATGATTATACATATTTAACTACTCATATATATGTACTAATAAATAAAACTAAATTTTTTTATTGCGTTGGCCAATGAAGCAGATCTTGGATTGTCTACGAATTTCATTAGAACATGATGTAAAAATAAACATCTGGGGGGCCATAATCTAGAACACCAGTTCTAGGTTTTTTTTTAATGGGTGATAACCCTATCTGCGCTATCGGTATACACTGGCGGGACACCAGTGAGGGATGATAGGTGATGATGAAAGCAGGTCAGTTAGCTCATCGTAACGAATGTCAATAGAATTAGCCACGACGGTTTCCAGAGGCAACCACGTGGAGGTCGACCTAAGAGAGTGTCACTTTTCTCATATTGGGTTTGCTGGAAGAAATCTCTATTGGAGATAAGCTCGCCCTTGTGCACTATTATGTTTGTTTTTACATTTCAATAACCTTTTGTGTACAATAAAGAAAAAATAAAAAAATATATTGCTAGCAATGGAACTGGTTGTCTGCATTACTAACAATCTCTTCCCCCCCACCCGTTCTAGGTTATGACCCCCCAAGTGGATGCTGCGTGGTTTTTCATTACACGGTGTACTAGTTTGAGTGACCGTTTACGGGCGTTAGACGGGCTGCATGCTTGTTTGCTTTGTGGTTTAAAACAAAAAAAAGAAAAAAGGAGCATGCGGTTGGTGTGATCGTGTAATACTTATTATTATTATTTTATTGGACTATCAAATATGTAAATTCGAAGGTTAATACTTGGATAATTGAACATATTGGAAGTTTGAAATTGATACCTTATCTCCATAGGAATAAGTTCTAAAATAACTAAGTTATGTCATAAGGCATCTTCGTACTACTCACGTGCATGCAACGATAAGAAACAAGGAAAATTTACACCAGTATGAACTGGATGTATTTAAAAAATTGTCTTTGGGTCAATTTATTAATGGGCTAGAGTTAGTATTGATTGTGAACCGGTTCGATCTGGTAAGCAATTAGGTATTCCATTTCGTTGCTATAGGAATATGGAATCAAATTAATAAGATATTGGGTACAAATTGCAAAAGACGCCAGATGTTAAAATATTAATTTCATTGAATTAAAATCTTTATAATATATATAGTATGTTAACGTATGACGCACGGATACGCCAATAAAAGTAGTTATCTCGAAGGCAATTACGTTTGCGTAACCACGTTTAGGAGCATCAGATAAAGGGATAATGGGGCATGTGCCAATTAAACCATGCGTGCTTGCCACTTTAGTTATCGGTTATCATACGCAGTTATTAATAAACAGTTTCTTGTAAAAAACTGACTTATATCGTGGTAAAACTGTTTATTTCGATTTAAAAACTAAGCTACTTAACCCTTCTTTGCATAACGGTGGAAATTTCCATCATAACACTGAATGCCCATAAATTATATAAAAGACAAAATTCACTTTAAGTTGATCGTGTCTGGATACCTTTTTAATGTCCATTGCAGAAAAAAAAACATAGCTGTCAAATTTATTTTTTTAACCATTTTTCCTTTAATATTTGAACATGAATTACATCACTTAAATTTATTTCACCAATAAAAAAATCATGCAAAAAAGGGTTAACCAGTTTTGATGAAGTTTCTATGAGATCAGTCTGTAAGTATAAACTTTTAGATTAAAAAGAATTTTCACCTTTTTAACCTACTACAAAATAAAGGAGGTTCTCTGTAAATTCTAAACCGATTTGGAATTTTTTTTTTTCATCTGTAAAGGCATACCCACAGATTGGTCCTGTAGCAATTTTATAAAAATTACAACTTCACCTTTTTAACCTACTACAAAATGAAGGAGGTTCTCTGTAAATTCTAAACCTATTTGGAAATTTTTTTTTTCTGTGAAGGTATACCCACAGATTGGTCCTGTAGAAATTTTATAAAATTACAACTTCACCTTTTTAACCTACTACAAAATGAAGGAGGTTCTCTGTAAATTCTAAACCTATTTGGAAAATTATTTTTCATTTGTAAAGGTATACCCACAAATTAGTCCTGTAGAAATTTTATAAAAATCGGTCCATTAGTTTAGTTTTTAGATCAAAATAACTAGTTTTGTCATAATTAAAGTCAGTTTTTTTGGAACACAATCTTTAATTATGTATACCATTAAAATACAAGTGTGAAAATCGCAGTTAATTTGTTGTAATGTAGTTGTTGTGTGATGCGGGACCGAACATACTGACAGTTTTTTTTTATTTTATGGTGTTGGCTTCTATTGTTTTTATTAAGACCTCATGTAGCTTTTTTTATATTTCCCATGTATAATAGATTTTGTCTAGTTACAATTTTAATGACATGACCAGAAAGGGAGTGACTAGCGAGATGACTGGAAATAGAGATGAGTGGAAGATAAAAACATATTACGCTGACCCCAAATAAATTTGGGAAAAGGCGGGAAGAAGATTAAGATTTCTTTTTTCTTATTACAGGTGCATTAAAAACCCACCAAATGTGCAGTTACTTTATCAACTGTATGCATGAATAAATATTAATTTTTAAATAATTTTTACAGTTTTAATGAACGGCAGCGCAAAGAACGGCTTGGATGACAAAGCTGAAGGGTGGGTCGTCTCGTCGGAGTCTTGCGGCTTCCTTTCAATAGGTAAGTCAAATATTATTTACACATTTGTATAGCAGAAATGTCTACTGTATGACTAATTATTATGGTAAACATACATACATGGTAATACATTTATGGTAAACTAATGAATGTAATGGAATCACCTTGATATATATGTATATTTAATTATATATCTTACATATGTATAATTATATATACAACAACGTTAATTATATATATTACATATGTATGTTATATATATATATATGTAATTATTATATATATTCTGCTAATTTTTTTAATGGTTGATAATGGAATGGTAACTTTGCCCGCGCTAACGGTATACGCTGGCGGAGCACCAGTGAGGGATGATAGGTGAGGAGTCAGTTAGACCCCATTACCAACAGTCCCTTCCCCCCCCCCCCCCCTCGACAGAGTTTCAATATTATTTTTAATATTCTCAGGTGCACGTTACGTCCGCGAAGTATTACCCGGCGAGATAGTAGAAATGTCGCGGCACGGGATTCGAACCGTGGACGTTGTGGAGCGGCCGGCGGACAAGCAGCAAGCGTTCTGCATCTTTGAATACGTGTACTTCGCCAGAGCGGACAGTATCTTTGAGGGTAAGTCGCGTGACATGATCTTATTTTTACCCTTCTTATAAAAACGTCCAAACTTAACTATTAAAGTTTTTTGTCACTGTTTTTCAAATATAGAATTTAATGCAAAAGAAAAGGACAAAACACTTCAATAGCTGTCTCTTTTCATTTAAGAGTTTCCTCTTGTCGGTGCAACTAATTCATGCATCTTCCTCCAGCCAGCTCTATCCCAGGTCATATCCTTTATCTCCCTATACGACATGACGCCTAGTGTTTAGCTGTAATAGAATAATAATATAAATGATATTTATATATTGTAAATTTAAGTTTTTTTTTATACAACAGAAAACTGGTAAAGAGTTTTGACTGCAACATAAACATATATATATATATATATATATATATATATATATATATATATATATATATATATATATATATATATATATATATATATATATATATATATATATATATATATATATATATATATATATATATATATATATATATATATATATATATATATATATATATATTAGTATGTGTGCCTTTAAAACTTATATTCGTTTCATTCAATGTCCATCTAAATACGGTAGACTAAATGGAATTCACTGTGTTGTCTTTTCCGACAAATGTTGAAGTCAAAAATTCCTTTTGACTTGATTTGTCCGAAATGCTAAAAACGCAGTTAGTTCATTAATCTCCCGTATTTATGTAAACATTGTATTTGTGTTATCACTGACGTGAGCCCGTGTTTCCGTGTCGCAGGTCAGATGGTGTACTCGGCGCGGCTGCAGTGCGGCCGCATGCTGGCCCGCGAGTCGCCCGTGGACGCAGACATCGTGTCCTCCGTGCCCGAGTCGGGCACCGCCGCCGCGCACGGATACGCACGACAGGTCATTGGCTACTTAACTAGCTTTTGCCCGGGACTTCATTCGCGTGACCGCGATATGTTTACTGTTCGGGATAAAAGTGGCTCAAATCCTTGTCCATACTGTATATTTCATAGTGACTGGTTAAGCTGTTGAAGCGCTATAGGGTTTTTTTTGATGGGTGATAATGGTATGGTAACCCGGCCTGCGCTAACGGGATACGCTGGCGGAGCACCAGTGAAGGGTGATAGATGAGAATGAAAACAGGCCAGTTAGCCCATCATGATGAATTCATCAGGAATTAACCATGATAGTTTCCAGGGAGAACCGCGAGGAGGTCGACCTGGTTGGGTATATTGCTAGCAATAGGATTCTCAGTTGCCATTACTAACAATCCCTTTCCCCTAAGCGCTATAGGGTAACAAACAAAGACTTACACATTTATAATATTACTAAGGCTGATACCTACAATGATGAACAGGCTAATGAGCAATTTGGTGGCATTTTCCACCAAATTGCTCATCAGCCACAGAAACTATATAAAAAACCACAGGAAAATATATAAAAAAACACAAAGCTTATGCTTATTTTTATATTTTTGAATATTTTCCGTGTTACGTTTCACATATCGTCATAGTCGTAGAATACTGACGGATCTTTATATGTAATCTTCGTCAGATCCGTCAGTATTCTACGACTATGACGATATATACATTTGTACATTTACTTGCTTCTATTAAATTGTATGTATTATCAGTGTGTATCAGAGGGAGACTTTGTACAAAAGTCGTTTGCTTGGGCACCTCTGTCCCATACGTGTTTCGACCGTGAAGCAGTTGTGTTTGCATGGCTGTGTTTCGGTTTGAAGCGTGGGATATGGCAGTGAATTTACTGGGTACAGAGGAATAACACCTGAGTCCTCAGGAATGGCAACGCATAGGGACTATCATAGGCGAAACAGTATACTCTGTTATGTCCATAGTACTGCTCATGTCTATAGGCGACGGTTACCACTTTCCATCAGGTGGGCCGTCAGCTTGTTTGCCATTCTAAGTTGTATAAAAAAAACAGCTAATGTGGTGTAAAGCTATAAAGTGCTCCTCTATCCAACAGTCAGGGATCCCGTTCATGGAGGTGCTGTGCAAGAATCGGTACGTGGGCCGCACGTTCATCCAGCCGTCGACGCGCCTCCGGCAGCTCGGCGTCGCCAAGAAGTTCGGCGCTCTCTCCGAGAACGTGAAGGGCAAGAGGATAGTGCTCATAGACGACTCCATCGTGAGGGGCAACACCATAGGACCGATCATCAAGTTGCTGCGGGACGCTGGCGCGGGCGAGGTGAGCCGTCCACCGTCTTTCGCTTTAATCCAGGGGTTCCCAAACTTATTTTGTCTACTGCCCACTTTGAGAATAAATTGTTTTTTAGCGCCCTCAAAAACCACTATTACTTCAAGATCAACAAATCACCCCCCAAGCCAACAACAACGCCCCCTTTTATTTTCTGGGACTCTCACCGCCCCCTTTTAGGCCTGCAGCGCCCACATGGGGCCGTTATCGCCCGCTTTAGGAAAGGGTGCTTTAATCTTAGGTTATACAGATAGAGCATCGAGTCTCAAAAACGGGTCAACGTTTTGTCGAATTAGCCGACTTGTTTTTTATCAGTTTCCTATATACTTAAGCCCATAATGTATCTTGACGTATCTATATTTAATAGTCTTATAAATAAAATAAGTAAAAACGCATTAAAAAGATGCAAAAATTATAAAATAAAATAAATATAGAAATGATAAAGGAAACACTCATAACTATTTATCAGACAAAATTGTATGAAAAAGTTGACCCGCTTTTCTCGTTGCAATTGTATGAAAACACTCTTATTTATATAATCTAAGGTTTTAATATATTTATAAAAGGTTGCACTGGGAATAGTATGTTCAAGTTTTTAGAAGAAATTTATTTAACTTTATTAGGGAAACAGAGAATACCTAAAACACAAATAGTTCATCCTCATGTCCTACATCCTCAATGGTCGCGTACTGCGCGGTTTCAGAGATGTTTCCTCCCACGAACACTCAGGTTGTGGAATGAGCTCCCTGCCGAGGTTTTCCCAAGAGACTACAGCATGGGGTTCTTCAAAAGGGGGGTCAAGAGGTTTCTTCAGGGTCGGCAACGCACGCGTAATACCTCTGGTATTGCAGGTGTTCGTAGGCTACGGTAATCACTTACCATCAGGTGGGCCGTATGCTTGTTTGCCACCTCAGTGGTATATAAAAAAAGTAAATACAGTCATAACATATGTATATCAGTTAAATTTTCACAATAAATTTACACATTAAATAAACGAGAAATGATGAATATGAAAAAAAAGTACCTGATATTACAAAAAAAAAATATAATATTAGCAAAGCCGTGTGGTCCCGGCATAGAATGGACCACCTCTTCCTTTCCCGTGTGTGTCGTAAAAGGCGACTAAGGGAACTTAATTGTCGAGGGATGGCAGGCAGCAGCGTTCCTCTTAAAACATTACCAAATTCTAACTGCGGTTGCTTATCCGTCTGCAGGCATAGCAATTACTGGCAAAACCCCCCAAGGGGAGGCCTATGCTCAACAGTGGCCAGTTAACTGTGTGGCTATCATTCCATTATCGTTTATAAAAAAGAGTTGTTGTTGTATATATATATATATATATATATATATATATATATATATATATATATATATATATATATATATATATATATATATATATATATATATATATATAATGTGACTATCTATCTATCTATCCTATTTAAGAGCTGCCGTCTAGTCGGTGGAGCTCTTGCCACTCACTACGATTTTCAGCGAGTCCCTTCACCTCTTGATACGACACGACACCAACTCCTTTCTTGATCTGCCTGATGTAACCATGTCGGTCTCCCTCTTCCCCTCCTTCCTTCTATCTTACTTTCTATTCTTATCTAATGTAACTTCAACAGGTGCATATAAGGATAGCGTCGCCACCGCTCAAGTACCCGTGCTACATGGGCATCAACATACCCACGCGTGAGGAGCTCATCGCCAACAAGATGGACAGCAACAAGCTCGCGGAGCACGTCGGTTAGTGTCATTGATTCTTATATATAATAAATTATAGATAGATAGATAGACAGATACTCTTTATTGGTTCCTCCAAAAGATTACAATAGTAAACTTATTATAAATATAAACAATTACAAGAAATAATCACAATGAGAAAACAATGGGCGACCTTATCGCTGAGAGCGATCTCTTCCAGGCAACCTTTGGATGGAGAGGAGTAATTATAAACAATTTGGTGGGAGGCACGATGAAAAATTTTTTTAGTTCTAGATATGGGAGATGTGATACATATAATAATATAAAAATTATCCCTACTAATAATTATATTTTGTTATGCAATTTGAAAGGGCCGTCATTTGTATATGAATAAAGACTTATACATATTCTTTATATCCCTTATTCTAAAAACAAATTTTCTACAAATATGTTTTAAACCATACATTGTTTTTTCACTTTTAAGTTGACAATTTAGTATTAAAGATAGAGACAAAAAAGTTTAATAGTTAAAATAGTTTTATGAGAAATTCGAAGTTTTTATGAATAAGGGGGTTAGTATTATGTGTAGGGAGACTTTGTACAAAAGTCCATTGCTTGAGTACCTCTGTCCCATTCGTGTTTCAACCGTGGAGCAGTTGTGTTTGCATGGCTGTGTTTCGGTTTGAAGGGTGGGATATGGCGTGAATTCACTGGGTACGGAGGAATAACATCTGAGTCCTTAGGAATGGCAACGCATGGGGGGTATCATGGGCGAAACAGTTATGTCTGTTATGTCCATGGTTTTGTTCATGTCTATAGGCGACGGTTACCACTTTCCATCAGGTGGGCCGTCAGCTTGTTTGCCATTGTAAGTTGTATAAAAAATAAAATAATGGTAGCGGAATTAAACAAAATATTAGAATTATCTACAAATAACCAGTTATTTAGTTTAATTGTGTGTTTGTTAGAGGGTTTAAAATTCTATTACATTTCAACAGGAGCGGATAGCTTGGAGTATTTAAGCGTGGAGGGTCTGGTCAGCGCGGTACACTACAACATGAAAACGACTCCCAGCGATGGAGTTGGCGGTCACTGTACCGCCTGCCTCACTGGCGAGTACCCCGGCGGCCTGCCGGACGACGTAGACTGGTGATAGTGATGTTATGACGGTGATGGACTGGTGATGAACTCAAAAAACTTGTATCAGACTGCAGTGATGGCATTTATTTATAAATGAAACTAGGCCGTGACCATGTCAATCTTAAACTCGAGCACTGGTAAATGATGGCGTAATGTCATGGGTTTTGGTAGAATATGTTCGTACATGTAAATACGTTACGCTATGTGTGTGCATTATATTCTATGTGTGTGTTACGCCACACATATCTACGGTACGTCGCTGATATACCGTTACGTAACGTCGCATATGTGTGTGTTACATCATACTTGTACGAGGTTTGTCCGGAAAGTACGTATAAAAGTGTGTACTCCCCCTGTGACATAATGCACTTGTGCCAACGCCGTTTCCACTGTGAGAAGGCTCCTTGAAAGTCCTCTGGTTGTAGGTTTCTCAGCTGCCCCGTCGTAGCTTGTTTTATCTCATTTATGTCCCCCAAATGCCGCCCCCGAAGTACCAATTTGGTTTTTGGGAACAAGAAGAAAATCCGGCGAATAGGGGGGGTGTTCGGTCACCGTAATGGAATTTTTACTCAAAAACTCACGGACAACAAGAGAGGTGTGGGCAGGGGCATTGTCGTGGTGAAGAATCCATACCCCTCTCGCGCCACACGAACTCGTGCCACACGAGCTAGGCGTCTGAGCACATCGACGTAGAATTTTCCATCAACTGTCTGTGATGGACAATCCCCCGAACATCGAACTCTTTCTCGGCCCTCTCTGAATCTTTTTAGCCACTTGTGGACGGTTGGTTCCTTCACAGCATCATCCCCATAAACTGTTCTGAGATCGGCAAAAATTTCACGGCCATTCTTGCCGAGTTTCGAGAGAAACTTGATTACGACGCGCTGCTCTTCAACGGAAGCGGGCTCCATGCCGACGGGGTTTCGTTAAGAGGTAACTTCACAGATGGCGTGACAAGCCAGTTCGCACCGCACGGCGGTCAGACCAGAACTGAAGCATTGTTAGGGACATAAGGAAGGGGTCCTGCGCTTACCTGGCCTCCCCACTCCTCTTTCTCGCATTCCAGAACACTTTTATACGAACTTTCCGGACAGACCTCGTATGTTACGTATATATTACGTCACATTCGTTCTCGTTTACATATATACGATTAGCGTATAACGTATTTACACGTTCGCGCTCTATGGACCTTTGTTTTATGGACACGTGCCTGTTATTTTGAACAAAATTGCTCAAATGTTTTATTGTCTGTGGTAATACAAATGAATCTATGATTTTAAGTGAATCTAGTGGGATACTTTTGAATTTGGAATCATACAATGGCCAATTTGTCAACAACAAACATATTCTATTAATTCTCTCATGTATATTCTATCAGGTAATAGAATAATGAATGTATTTTTTTTTTATATATTAATTAATAGTAAATATTAATTCTTTTTTTGAAATTAAATAAAAAAATATTTAACTTCAAGTCAGTTGAGGCCCCCCCTAGTGTGTATAGAAAGAGTGCCAGAGACGTATGAAGTAATTTTTACTTTATCTGTTTTTTTACTTGTCTAATTACTTGATTCATTTGTATATGCCATTTTAGAGATACTGTATTTTATTATATATTAGTATAAATATAACAGATTTAATTTAAAAAAGATTATTAGTGATTCATGACATATATATTACATATTTTTTTGTCTTCTTTTTGAATCCAAAATAGGTAGGTTACTATTGAAATGCATTGATTTATTTTTAATAGAACTCTCTCTCTTTCTATATATATATATATATATATATATATATATATATATATATATATATATATATATATATATATATATAAGACAAAAAAATATGTAATATATATGTCATGAATCACTAATAATCTTTTTTTATATATATATATATATATATATATATATATATATATATATATATATATATATATATATATATATATATATATATATATATATATATATATATATATAGGTATGCTCTCTGTAAGCATTTGAATTTCATGAATCATTAATATTGGTCTTAAATTTTCAACTATTTTTAGATAAATTTATCGTATAATTATGATTATTAAGAATATAAAAGACATTATACTGTAGAATCTCAAATGTTCCTAAAGCAATTAAAGACATATTTTTTAAATGTAATCAACTGTTCTAGTAATCTCTTAGTTTATGAACATAACATGCCTTTTATTGAATATATACCATATTGTTGATGTTTGTTATATTGGAAACAGCATGTATTTGATATCAATAGTTGAAAGCTAATTGAATTTGTTTTACATTGCGCTTCCATAATTTTACATTCCTAACCATAGATAATGTAACTAGTTACTTGTTTGCCATTCTGGGTTGCATGAAAACGGCAATTAGGAAAACGTGCCTTTTTTGTGAAAATGAAAATAAAAAATGGAAAAATCACGATGGTTTCCATGGGGACCAAGTGGAGGTCGCCTGACAGGGTATATTGTTAGCGAAGGGACCTCTAGTCCCCCATTAGTTTTTAAGATTTATGGTAACTAAACCTTCTCCCTGTGCATGTTATAATTGTAAGTGTGCCTATTTGCTAAAGACGAGAGGTTTAGTGTGGGCGTGGAAGGGATCAATGAATAAAGTTGCGATAAATTTATTTTACTATATTATACGGCTTCGGCAGAGAGTTTGTTAGTATGTAATGTTTATATTAACAAAGGGAGTGCAGCGATAAAGCTTGGTGAGTTATTACAATGATAGTGAGCCAGTTTCTGCTGCCTTTTTTGTCACTTTGTCTTTGGACAAAGCTCTCTATAATTTTATGTCATAGACTTAAAATAATAGAGAGCAACTGTGTGGAGCAGCTTTTAATTATCAAATTCATGATAAAAAAAAGTTCTCCATGTATTTAATATATTATTGTGCCGTCTTAAAGTAAATTATAAAATGGCCAATAGGATCAGTCTCCTAAAATTTGTACTATTCCTTATTCTGCTTCAAATTTCTGTATTTGCCTAAGCTCGCTTCCTGAGTAAGCAGCTTACTTCTCGGGTATTTTACTTTGGGCTTAGCGGCATGAGGCATAGTGTAAAAAACAATGTATGTACGTAGAGAAGTATGAATCGCATAACGTGCAAGTCGCAAACGTCGCAAAATTATATTAGCGTTGCAATAATCTCACAATATCCGAATCTCAAAAGCACCAATTCCCAGGTTCTTATATTTTGTTGGATAGTATAGTTCAGTAACGTGTATGAGTGGCTTAATTACGTATGCATGTGTGTTGTTAGAATTATATTGTTATATTTTTTTTTGTCTCTGAAGCATGATAGGAGTTATCTATGCCGCCATCTGCTAAGCTCATCACCGAGTCGGGGAGCCTAAAACTTGCGTAGCCGCAGCCGTGAAAGTAGACCTATGTAAACACCCTTGTTTCTAAGGGTAATTTAAAGTAAAATAAATAGGTAATGTTATGTTGGTGATTTTTTTTTTTACCTTATGCCTATTGTTCCGTCAGCGGAATTGATTTAATTAGTTTTATCGAGTCTTAATTAACAGTCGTGCTGGTTTCGACTGAGAATTCTTAGTTATAATTAGTTTAAGGTAAAGATCTGTAAGCATTTAACATTATATGTTGGGTCAACACAGCGAATTTTTGTATGGTGGTAACGAAAATAACTGTGTTTACGGCCCGTTATCTTATAAAATCTCTGATTATGGTAATATTAATTCTGTCTCACTCTAACGTACGGTGTTGCGCGCACGTTAGCTGCGGATCATTGTCGTATTTGTTCAATCTAGTACATTAAGTACATAGATAAAAAAAAAAGCGTTGTAATTTATAAATTCGAATAAACATTTGTTTTAATATGAACCTCGTCTAAATTAATTGTGGACTTATATTAAACTGTAATTTTATTTCTTATACTTGTCTATGATATTAAAAAAAAAGTTTATGAATTATTTCGTAATATCGCATAGATATTATAAAACTTTATAAACTATTGTGTCAAAATGCGCCATCATTTTTTAAATATATTGTTTTATATTATGGTTGTTTATAATTTAACCTATTATATATATTTATATATTAATTTCTTCTCAAGCTTCCCTGTACAAGTGGCTAATGAATGAGATACGTTTACGAATTTTGTACGTATTTTATGAAACTACATTATCGCAGATATTGTTGTGTTGTTTAAACGCGCGGTAGCGAAAATGTATCTATCGAGAGATACAGTTGCCTAGGAGGCTATCCATTATTGTACTCTTGCTGGGAATGCGTATGGGACCACAAACACATTTTTGAGGATAATATATATTTATCAATAATTCTATTTACAAATTCAGAACCATTATTGTCTGTACAACTGAATACAATAATAATACAGATAGTAAATATATATTTTTTTAATTCATAACTGGCTACATAGTGTCATATAAATATAAGATATAAAAACTGTTTGCAATTTGAGCTTGTTAGCTTTTATAACATTTATATGAAAAAAAAAAACAGGAAAACAACATTTTCTTAAGTTGAAGATTACATTTTCTAAATATCTAATATTCCTAATCGTTAAATGTCAATTTTTCGTTTGCTCTAATTTCTAAAATAACAAATGAAAAATATTTCTGATGCAATTCTACTAAAAAATTTGTTTAAATTAGTCCTTAGAACAATCATTTTGCTGTTTATTTATTTATTTAAATTATGATACATAGGTAACAATGGATTGTAAAACAAGATAAGTCCTCTATGATCAACCCCATCTATCGAGATATATAAATTCGCAATTATATAAGAAAAAAACAAATTATATAAAAAAATAAAAAATGTCACATTTATAGTAAAAAATTATAATATTATGGAAATTTATTACATTTATCTCCAAGGTAATCGTCAATTGAATAGTACTCGTATGTTCTGTTTACTAGGTATTCATACAGTTTAGTTTTAAATTTATGTCATCTATTGTTATCAATTTGGTATAATTGTAATTTATTTAACTTCATTTCTAGACAAATAGAATGGTGTTTTAAAATAGATTCCCTGCAACAGTATTTTTTAACAAAATTTACATTGGAATTTTTAATAACAAAACCTTATGTTTTCTTGAAAGGCTAAGGACGTCTTTAGTGTTACTAGTTACTATGGGCTGCGGTGATCACTCACCATCAGGCTAGCCACATGAAACATTGATTCTATTTTCTATTAAAAAAAAACTTAAAACTACTGTTAACTTCGTTTTGATTACATAAACTATTATATTATAACTATTATAGCGATTGTGAAGTCGAGTAACTTTCTACAAGAAACAGGGAAATTTTTTTAACATTCATATAAACCGAAACATTACCATCGATTCAGTACGAAAGAAGATACTTAGATTATATAGATAGAGCATCGCGCTTCAAAAACGAGTTAACTTTTTGTCAGCTAATTGTCAAATTAGCTGGCTCGTTTTTTTATCAGTGTTCTATATACTTACGAATAAACTGTATCTTGACGTATCTAAGATACAAAAAGATGGAAAAATTATAAAACAAAATAAATATAGAAGTTATAAAGGTGTTTCCTTTACTTACACACACAATGTATTTTGATGTATCCATATTTAATTATTTAATAAATAAAATTAGTTCTTGAGCATTATAAAGGAAATACTCATTATTATTTATCACACAAAATTGTATGCAAGAGTTGATCAGCTTTTCTCTAATCATTTGTATGGAGACACTATCTATATAATCTAGGGAAAGATAATACAAAAGTAGTTTCATGACTACTACATTTTATATCAGAGTTACAATTTATTACAAATTGTATAATTTCGTTATTTCAAATTTATTTCTGTATAAATAACATTTACAATGTATTATATAAACACAATTGTTATGTTTAATATTGTCTATTCTATATATTCAAGTTCAATTTTTTTTTTATAAATAACTAGTAAAGTCACTAACAAAAAAAGTTAGTTAAAAAGTTTAGACACCATGTTCTATTAGAAGTAAAATTTAGTAACTTATAACAAAATGGGAACAAATACTGGTTATAAGATCGCAAAAATTAAGCTATAAATAATTTTTATAGCTTAATTATTTCATAGATTAATTTTCCTATGGTAATTATTTTATTTTTTTATATATCAAGATTGTTCACCGAACAATAATGTTTGGGTCTCAAAAAAACCCGATTTCAGTTGTGATGACAAACACTAGTTATTTTGATTTAAATAAAAACGTAAACTACTAAACCGATTTTGATAAAATTTCTATGAGACCAATCTGTAAGTATATATATTATATATAAAAAAAAAAACCGAATTGAGAACCTTCTTTTTTGAAGTCGGTTAATGAGACAGGGAAAGAGTCTAGAGCGCGTGCTTTCCAACGATGGCCTCGATGTCGCGGACCTCCTTGACGCACGTGTCGGTGAGCACGAGCGGCTCGCCCTCCGTGATGAGCACGTCGTCCTCGATGCGGATGCCCACGCCGCGGAACTCCGGGGGCACCATCTCGTCGTCATCACGGATGTAGATACCTGTATAATACCAGAAATATAAGTTGTATTTTTTTTATGGGTGAAAATGGTATGGTAACCCTGCCTGCGGTAACGGGATACGCTGGCAGAGTACCAGTGAAGGGTCATAGATGAGAATGAAAACAGGCCAGTTAGCCCATCATGATGAATTCATCAGGAATTAACCATGATAGTTACAACCCCGCCTTAGTCGCCTATTACGATACCCACAGGATAGGAAGGGGTGGCTAAGTATTTATATTTATGGGTATTATGTGAGGTGGTCGCCATGTGGTCCCGGCATAGAATAGACCGGCAATAATAAATGTGAGGTGGAGATAGTAGGCACCTGGCTCGACGGTGACCAGCATGCCGGGTCGGACGGCGGCGCCGCGCCGCACCAGTGGCGTGTCGTGGACGTCCAGCCCGAGGTAGTGCGACACGTGGTGCGGACACAGCCGGTATGCTTTCTGTACACATCATATAAAAACACACATTTAAGATCTTCATGCACAAAACTATTCACCATTTTTTCCTTTTTTTTATACAACTTAGAATGTCAAACAAGCTGACGGCCCACCTGATGGAAAGTGGTAACCGTCGCCTATAGACATAAGCAGTACAATGGACATAACAGGGTATATTGTCTCGCCTATGATACCCACCATGCGTTGCCATTCCTGAGGACTCAGATGTCATTCCTTTGTACCCTGTAAATTCACGTCATATCCCACCCTTCAAACCGAAACACAGCCATGCAAACAATTGCTTCACGGTAGAAACACGAATAGGACATAGTACTCAAGCAATCGACTTTTGTACAAAGTCTCCCTCTGGTAGTTCCTTAGAAATAACAGAAATTTTATACAGACAAAAATAGGATAAGCTATGATATCGCCACGCGGATAAAACCTGTCTTTTGATCTTTAATATTGAACGATAACCGCTCTGTGGATGTGAGTTTTTATATGTATATCTTTGTAAAGCTTTGCTTGCATCCTAGAGGAGGGCAAAGGCTACCCGAGCCCCCTAATAAAAGAACAAACACTTCAATAGCTGAAACAGGTTTATTAAAAGTCGGATGTTTTATACAGTCATAAGTAGTAAATTATGATATTTTTATATATTTTTTTTTTTTTAAATGTACTGAAAATCATAACTTTTAAGAAAAGAGCATATTCCTTTTTAAAAAGCCGGCAGCACACCTGCAATGCCGTTGGTGTTGTAGGTGATCATGGGCGGCGGTAGTCACTATCAGGTGAGCCGCATGTTCGTTTGCCCTCTGTGTTGTAACCAAAAAGACCAGAATGTATGGGATTCTATACTTACACCAATAAGCTCATTGCCATCTATGTTTTTGGGCAGTATGCCCTCTTGTTGCAGATGCGTCCCGAGCAGTCGACACATGCTGTCGAATAACTGGTCCAGCGCCGGCCGGTGCTCGCCCAGCAGTTCAATCAGACGTTTCTGGAAAGATTATGGGATTACATTGACCCGGATAAAATGTACAATTTAATGTATTGTTCGCTGTCTCCAGATGGCAATATTTTCTGTTTAATAAATTATGTATATAATATATGACTAATGAAAGGAAATCATTATATCAGCCTTTTACTGCCCACTATTGAAAATAAGCCTACCCTTTGGGAGGTTTTACCAGTATTCGCCACGCTTGGAAGACGGGTTAGCAACCGCAGTTAGGTTTTAGACATGTTTTAAGAGAGATACTGCTGCCCATCTCTTGCCCTCCCTTAGTCGCCTCTTACGACACCCAGGGGAAAAGGGCTGGCCTATTCTATGCCGGGACCACACGGCATATATAATATTATACTTCCTAACAATAAGAAGAACTATGATTATTTTATAATTATTTATTAATACTTTGCTGACTGGGAGTTCCGTCATGGTTAAAATCTTTGGAAGCAAATTAATTTAGTAGAAATAAAAATTATTTTTTTGCTCATGAACGCTTTGTAATCCAAACAGTGTTAGGTCGTAGTAGAAGGACGTACCTGCACGTTAGTGCAATGACGAGTTATATTGCTAGAATATAGGTAGTTTAAGATGAAAGAGGTTTACATTTCCCGTATACAGTCTGCTCATGGTCGCGTGGTCCCGGCATAGAATAGGCCACCACTTCCTTTTCCATGGGTGTCATAAGAGCCGGCTAAGGGAGGGCGAGGATTGGGCATCAGCGTCCCTCCTAAAACATCTTGAAACCCTAACTGCGGTTGCCAACTCGCCTGCCAAGCGTGGCAACTATTGGCAATGTCCCCCAAGGGGGAGGCTTATGTTCAGCAGTGGACAGTTAAAGGCTGATATGACGATGGAAGTGAATATGTTGTTATGTCAAATTGTTTAGATGTCTTACTTATATTAGCTACGTCATTTCCTTTATTTTGTTTTTACTAGATGTGATTTAATTGAGTACTAAATGTGATACTCACTTGTACGTTAAGTACGAGCTCGTACAGTATGCGGTGGTGTTTGGAGAACTTGCCGGACACCGGCCACGTGCGCGATATGTCGGAGTTGTACAGCCAGCGCTGGCTGCCTGCAATACGAACGGTTCATATTGGACTTTGATTTTACTGCCTGTCAGAAACTTGATATAAATTGCCTTTTTCTACAAATATCTTTTGAAGAATCAGTGAAGGCAATTCATCATCTTCATCATCATCACCTTTGATCTCTATCATTGTTAATTGTTGTTATTGTATATAATCTATAAGTATGTGTGTATAATTATATTTGTATGTATGTTTCTACGATATATATTTGTATATGCAAGTAATTTTAATATTGTACGTATTGTACGATACGTACGTGTAATTGTTTATTTGCAATAATTTTCAATTTTGTTCACCATATAATTACATTTCTGTTACGCCAAAGGTTGAGTGGGAGAGAATGCTATATAGTATTAAGTCCGCCTTTTGTACTCGAGATTTTTTTGGAATGTGGTCAATAAAGAATAAATAAATTTGATTTCTATTGATATATTGCTTTAATATGCTCATACTTGCTCACACATTTCACACACATACACACACGCACGGTCGCGCGCATGCTCGAACGTACACGGACGCACGCACGTACATACACACACGGGGGCACACACACACTCACGGACGCACGCTCACACACAAGGACGCACGCACACACACAAGGACGCACGCACGCACACACGCATAGAATTCTAGCGGGAAAATTAGCATAATAAACAGTGGTTTACCCGAGTCAACGAGTAGCATGTCCCGCTCATGCAGTATCTGATTGTTGGCGATGTAGTGTATGTGCGTGGCGCGGGCGCCGCCCGCCACCACCGGCGGGAACGCGAGGTGCTCGGCGCCGCCCTGCCGGCACGTGTACTCCAGCACCGCGTTCACCATATGCTCCGATACACCTATACAAGGGACCGTACGATTCAAACTATAATTAGAGGGGAAAGGGATTGTTAGCAATGGCCCATTTAGACCCCATTACTAACAATCTATGTATTTATCTAGCAATACACCTTATCAGGTCGATCTTCACGCGGTTTCACTTGGAAACCATCGTGGTTAAATCAAGTGGAATTCGTCACGATGGGCTAACTGACCAGCTTTCACCGTCACTTATCATCTCTCACAGGTGGGGCACCAGTGGCGATAAAAGCAGTGTATACCGATAGCGCAGGCAGAATTAAACTATTAACATATTAACATTCAATTACCACTCATTAAAAAAAAACTTCTCCATAGTGGGGGGAAAGGTATTGTTAGTAATTTGGAGGTTAGTCTCCATTGCCATCAATATACCCTGTCAGGTCGACATCCACGCGATTCCCCCTGGAAACCATCCTGACTAATTTATAGTACAACGCCACGATGGGCTGATCTGCCTTTTCATTCTTACCTATCATCTATCACTGGTGCCCCGCCAGCGTATACCAATAGTGTAGGCAGGGTTACCATTCCATTATCATCCATTAAAAAAACTGCTCCATCATTAGGAATATACTCCATTAGGTTGGTGTCCACGCGGTTTACGTTAGAACACATCATCACTATTATATCACCCATTATCTGTTCACTGCTAAACATAGGCCTCCTCTATAGACGCTCAGGTTATGCTACTGGTATTGCAAGCGTTCAAAGGCTACGGTAACCACCTTACTATCAGGTGGGCCATATGCTTATATATACATGTATATGTCTCAGTGCTATAAAAGATTAAACTCACCAGGTTTAGTGCATGCCATCGCCATATTTATTGACTGGGAGCCAATATAACACGTCTCCTTCAGAAGCTCGATCTCAGCGGGCGACTTGATCACCCTTAGGAAGTGTAATGTCCGCTGTGGGTCGGAGAGGGACACATGACCATTATTACGTAAGACACTCGCCACTGTAGAGTTCAAGTCGGGGTTGGCCTGACTCCTATCGTTGTACCAGAGTACCGATGGTTTTGAGGAGTTGAATATCCTGGAAGAAAACCTCTTGTTTAGTTTGATAGCATTATCAATCAAGCAGGTTTCAGCATAGAATTAATTTAAATAAGAGTTTTTTTCTCAATAGTTGCATGTTAGTTATTATAATTGAAAAGAACAAACCTACTTGCCAAGGAAGGTTTCAAATTGTTCGACCGGTCGTGCTTCGTCAACAGCAAAAAGCTGAACAGCAGCATTACAGCCCGTCCGTGGTCCGTCCCAGAGTTCGGCATGACTGTCTTTGTCATGTACAAATAGGATACTCTGTAATGTGTTCAATAATGTTACCAATTGTAAAATGAATTATTAAATTCAACTTATAATTGGTGATAATAACATTTTATTACTTTATTGTTAAGTTTTATAAGTACAAATTATATTTTAATGTAATAACTAAGCTATTTTCTCGATATAATTACAAGTTAAATTCATAATTATTAAGTTTTATTTATTCATGAAGCTCACCTTATAATTGCTTGTCTGTGCTGGTTTCACTAATACCAGAATTGCAGACGGTTCTAGGCAGCCCGTTAAGTAGAAAAAGTCAGAATTTTGTCTGAACACATACGGTATTATATCAGACATGTACTGTTTGCAAGCCGCTGGTATTACAATCTATAATATAGATATGGCAATGTTTAAACCTTGTTGCTTTTGTAGGTGCACTTAAAACATGTTAAATTATTAATGTATGTAGTACAAAGCACATGTAAATGCACACATAAACAATCTGTAATGATTTGATGTATAAGATTATTTTATAAAAAATAATACATCAAATACTTTGTAGATACCACTTGCTAAATTTTTAACTAGTTATTACTTCTGACTTTGTTTATACAGGCAAGTTATATTGATTGACAGGGCTACTTTTCCCATCAATATCATCATCATCATATAAATCATTAATTGTTCACTGCTGAGCATAGGCTTCCCCATAAAGGAGACTTTGCCAGTAATTGCCACAGTTGGCAGGCAGATTGGCAAACATAGATAAGATTTTGGTGATGTTTTAAGAGGGTTGCTGCTGCCCATCCCTTGATCATTAAGTTCCTTGAGTTGTCTCTTATGATACCCACAGGCAAGGAAGGGACAGTCCATTCTATGACAGGACTACATGGTGATCAATTTCCTCATCAGTATAAGACATAAAATAAGATAATAAATAATATTATAAACATCACTGATATTTCTAATAATAATCTAACTAACAATTAGAAGCGACTGAGAAATATTTGGTCAGTCAACTCAGGTTAAATACTGATAATATAGGGGGTAAAGGATTATTAGCAATGGAGTTTGACAGCCCCATTGCTAGCAATATACCTTATTAGGTCGACCTCCACATGGTTCCCCCTGGAAACCACCGTGAAGAATTCTTGTTGAATTCATCACAATGGGCTAACTGACCTGCTTCATCCTCACCTATCATTCTTTACTGGTGCCCCGCCGGTGTATACCGATAGTGAGGGTGGGGTTACCGATCCATTAAAAAAAAATAAAAGCACTAGTGTAAAACTTTGATTTAGTTTTTATTGTTACGTTACAATTATTTCAATAAATATTGAGATTTATATGGAAAAAGTAAGGTAAAGATCAGTATTGAATTTTTTTATTATTAGGAAGGTTAATGTGCTGACTGTCCATCTGATGAGAAGTGGAAAATATTTATAAATACTTGCAACACTAAAGGTATTACCGGCGCGTTTGCCAGGGTTTTACAAATTTGTAAGTACGTAATAAACTTACAATGTGCGTTTTATGGGCATTTTGCACTTCTGCCATCAATTTGGTAACAAGCGCGTCCCTCCGTTCCCTGTACTCCATCTGTGTAATGCCACATGTCAACTGACCGGGTGGTATGAGATGAGGGTGTGTGTGGCAAGTCGCCTGCCCAACGACGGCTTTTGGTATAGAAAACTGAGGGACGTCTTTCACTCCTGGCGGATTTTCCACTGTGGACAACCATCTACACCGGTCTTCACTTAAAACTTGCCTGAAAACCCTTCTTCGACCTTTGGACGCTAAAAAACAGAATTGTTTTTTCATTTACAAAAATAGGTCACCGGGTTTCAGTATAAAAACTAAATATGTCGCTACATACCGAAATTTAATGCCCAGTTACGTAAACCATGCATTGTGCGCTTTGTAAGGTTATATTTGAATAATTGGTAGTTGATTATTTAGATAGTTTCTTGGTTAAATTGTTTATTTCATGTCGAAAGAGAATAATTTTGTTTGGGAAAATTTTGGAAAATTTGACAATTGACGTATGGTACATTTCTCTTAATTGACATTGACATTTGTTACGCTTTGACATATTTGACCATTGCTATGTTGCCAAAAAGTAAAAAATAAAAATAAGGATTTGTTTTCGATGCCATTCTTTTATAAATTTTATTACAGACATTTAATATGAGTTTTTTTCGAGAATAATTTATCTCTCAAAAGTCATCCTGTCAAGTCGTTCTCGTGGTTACCTCTGGAAACTTTTTATACATTTAATATTATTAATGTTATATATTTTAGGATTTATTCAATATGATGCCCACGGCCACTTTCTTCCATCGTACCGCTCACCACCAACAGGGAGTTCACCCTCATACCCTACAGCAAAATGGTCACGTACAACACGGATTCAGAGATGTTTTCTCCCACAAACACTCTGGTTATGGAATGAACTGAACGGAGATTCTTCAAAAGAGGGTAAAGAGGTTTCTTCAGGGTTGGCAACGCGCGCGTATTGCAGGCGTTCATGGGTTACGGTAACCGCTTACTATCAGGTGGGTCGTATGCTTGTTTGCCACCTCAGTGGTATAAAAAATTCTTTACTTATGAAAAAAATTGGTTTTTATATACATATCATCATTATCATCATCATTTCAGTCATTATTCATCCAATGCTGGACTTAGGCCTCCCCCATAGACAGCCATATATAAATACGGTCCTAAGCCACCTGCATCCACTGACTCCCTGCAATGCATTTGAGGTCGTCACTCCATCTAGTAGGGGGTCGTCCTACACTGCGTTTGCCTGTACGGGGTCGCCACTCAAGAATTTTTCTTCCCCATCGGTTGTTGGTTCTTCGAGCTATGTGACCAGCCTATTGTCATATGCATATATATGTCATATATGTATAACGGGAAAAGATTATTTCCGATAATTGATTTGACTTTATCCTAAAGTTTTCTTCAAGGAGCGTACGGCACTTTAAACAAACAAACAAACAAACACAGTAAGTTCGTTAATTTCCCGTTATATATGTATATAGACATCGAATTGAATAATAAAATTAATTTTAGATTTGTTTAAATCAATGTCTTTCAAAGCGTAGGCTCCGACCCCCCAAGGGGTTTCTATAAGGGGGTCGCGAAAACTACCTTAGTAAAAAAAAACAAACTAATAAACATAGATTTATTAAGAATATTGTTTTATTTATCATTAATACATTTATGATAAATAAAACGTATGTAAATAATACAAATTAACAAAAAAAAATAAGTGGGGGTCGCGAAATATTTTTTCATACTAGGGGGCTCGTGTCATTAAAAAGGTTGAAAACACTGGTTTAAATTATTTCATTTTCTTAGATTAATAAAATATTTTTCACGAGAGCGCTGTATGAACATTCATACAAACGACATCAACGAACTTCATACGTAAACGTAAAGGAATAAATAAACAAAATTTGTAAAACTTGTTGTTTTTTTTTATACAACTTAGAATGGCAAACAAGCTGACGGCCCATCTAATGGAAAGTGGTAACCGTCGCCTATACACATGAGCAGTACCATGGACAAAACAGAGTATACTATTTCGCCCATGATACCCCCCATGCGTTGCCATTCCTGAGAACTCAGATGTTATTCCTCTGTACCCTGTAAATTCACGCCATATCCGATCCTTTAAACCGAAACACAGCCATGCAAACACAACTGCTTCACGGTTGAAACACGAATGGGACAGAGGTACCCAAGCAATCGACTTTTGTATAAAGTCTCCCTCTGGTGAGGGGTCTGCTTGCCTCCCGCTGCTTTGCTACGTACTGGTCTTATTGAGACTGTAGAGAATGTAGAAGGAAAACACAATTTATTAACAGAGAATGTATGTAAAAAGACACGACCGCGCTGCCTGATCGTGTCTTTTTTACGTTCGGTCGGAGACACAACAAAAGTTCACAAAAATCACGAGAGAGGCGCTGCCCCGCTTACTCCCGCGTTTATTCAAAGCTCCTAAACACAATATACATATATTATATAAAGAGAATAGAATAAAAACATAGTTACGTGTCGCCTACAGAGAACATTCATGTTATTTTTTTTTAATTAGATAGATAGATAAATAATTTATTTGCTTATTATTATTATTACTTACAGCACACAAACAACGATAGACATATGTAAATGCACAGTGAGAAAAGATAAAAAAAAAAGATACATGTACAAGAAATAAAAAAAATAAAAATAATAAGGTTGTCTGGAAGAGATTGCTTAGCGATAAGGCCGCCTTTTGTATCACTTCTCATTAATATTTACTGTATTTGTTATTTCTCTGTTTACTTGGTGCAATAAAGTGTAAATAAATAAATAAATAAAATAACATAAAATTAGTAACAATTTTCCCCCTTCATGCGTGTGCCACAATTACAATTGTATTATATTAGTAAGATTGCTAATATTAGAAATATTACGCTTATACATTCTACAGTTTACTTTCAGCTTCTCAAAGGTTGACTGAAAGAGATCCCTTTGTCATAACACAATACAACATTGTCCACGAAATCAAGCGGTGGTGTTATTTAATAAGCTGCCTAAGGAATTAATGTCACTGAATGATTTATATATCTTTAGGACAATATTGAAGTCATTACTGCTAGGAAGGTGTCTTTTTTTATACCACTAAGATGGCAAACAAGCATACGGCCCACCTGATGGTAAGTGGTGATGGTGGTGGTGTCTGTACTCAATTGACGAATTCTAATTATAGTAAATTTGAATATATATATATTGTTTATATTAAGAGATGACTAAGTGACTGTAATATTTGTTCTATGCTTAATTTAATTTATATTTTATGTACTGTATCAATTTATTGTATCTACTATGACATTCAAATACAAATTTTTGTTCATGAATAAATAAAATAAAAATAAAAATATCCCATAAGGGATAAGTCCGCCATTATATATTAAATCTTTTGATGTATTCCGTATGAATTATGTACAATAAAGATTTTACAATACAATACAATAGTTTTATTTAACAAGACAGTGTATTATTTAACTGCGTACACGTTATACAAAAAAAAAAAAAACTATTTAAAACGTCATGAATTTTAAGTGATATTTAATAGAAAAGTGAAAAAATACTTAATTATTGTTCTAGATATTAAGTGTCCACTGCTGAACATAAGCCTTCCCCATAAGGGGAGTTTTGCTAGTAGTTGCCACGCTTGGCAGGCGGATTGGCAACCGCAGTTGGGCTATAGAGATGTTTGAAGAGAGACGTCGCTGCCCATACCTCGCCTTCCATTAGTCGCCTCATACGACATTCATGGGAAAGGAAGGGGTGGCCTATGTGGTGGTGGGAAGGGGACCCAGCGGAAAAAAAATAACACATATAATAAAATCGTAACTGGTCGCTCTCTGTACATAGAAGATAATTAAGATAAACTGTTATATGGCTTTATGAACACAATAGACCCCAAAATAATGTTTTTTAGAATTTTTGTCTGTTTTTCTGTCTGTACGTTTGTACATGATAATGTCAGAAACGGCTTAACCGATTTGAACGTGGTTATCACTAAAAGGTTGCGGTTTGTTCCACTTAACATTTTGTGTATGTTTTATTTCAATCAGTTCATAAATAAAAATATATAATATACAACTTAGAATGGCAAACAAGCTGACGGCCCACCTGATGGAAAGTGGTAACCGTCGCCTATACACATGAGCAGTACCATGGACATAACAGAGTATACTGTTTCACCCATGATACCCCCATGCGTTGCCATTCCTGAGGACTCAGGTGTTATTCCTCTGTACCCAGTAAATTCTTGTAAAATTGAAAGGGTTTTCAATTGTCTTTTCAACTTCGAACTTCCAGAAAAGCCTATGTCTCCGATATATAAAAGAAAGCATTTTATAAAATAAACTTTTCCGACGAATTTAAATTAAGAAAGTTCAACGAAATTAAAAAACAAAACGCACTTGTTGAAAATTTTTCAGCTACACATTTTGAAATATATGGAAAGATTGTCAAATATATATTGTAACCTAATGATTTTAGATGCTTCTGTTGGTTCCTAGCAGGATAACTTGTACCTGCATATAGTGTTAGATTCTAATAAATCCTTAGAAGGTTTAGTATTTTTGGAGCATACCTCTCAAAAGGAAAAGAGGCTCTATCTTGGCCCGTAGGCAGGAAGGTCATGCGACGTTCACCGAGCTCTTGCGGCAGTCAGCGCGGAACGAGCGGCGCACGCGCACGTCACGTACCAACCTTGTGGTACCCATACGCGATCGCGTCAAACAGTGCTACCATTCGTGCCCGTTACAATAGTGTTTCATAACAGTGCTTGTTTATTTTTTTAATTTGAACCTATTTGGACGTGCCGTGGCCAGCCAACGACTCTGCATAGAGGTTTGTTGTTTTCCATAATATTTCACTGATCACTCCGTCTCTGTCTTCTATATTGTAGTCTAGTCGATAGTTTACATCGATAAATAGTCGTTTCTAGTTTGCGAGTTCATTTGCATCATTTTGTAACCCATTCATTAGTTGTTACGGTTGACTGCAAGGATTACCTAATATGTGACCTCGTAGTGACACAAAAGACGTGTGTGTACGCCTAGTTACCTCGTTGTTTATTGGTAAAAGTTATTTGAAAATGTTCTCGTGCGAGGCAAAGGTTAATTACGTATACAGCCTTTAAACGAAGTAAACAATAGCAAGAATGGTAATGAAAATCTATATTACTGAAACCAGTATGCAGTGAAGTCATGAAGTATCTACGGAGCCATACGGCCTAAGTCCTTAAGAAATGTTTGTGCATGAGGCATACCATGGAGGCTACAGTATATTTTGTCATTGTTTCTTCTAGCCTTTTTATTTAAAAGGTACTAGCCTTTTTCTTTAAAAGATCTAAAAAAAAAATAAGATTTCCATTTTTAAATTTGAACTACAGTAACTCCATTGAGTTCTAGAATATTAAATTATATAGTAATTATTCGGTAGTGTCTGTTTAAATTATTAATTTCAAATAGTAATCTTTACAACATAGACGTAATTTTGCATTGTTTGGAACTATCACAGATAATATAATACTATTAAGAGCTACGTAAATGAATGATGTGAAAGTTAGCTTACTGTTACGTTATTGTACATGTAAATGTACGCAAGATTTTTTTTACAAGTCTACTTATTACCTTTTGTATTAGTGAAAAAAAAAATGCACAGAGTAAGCAAAGAATGAGACAGGTTAGCGGTCACAGCTATTTCTTAGAGGTGCGTGATTGTAAACGTAATAGGTAGGTAGGTTCGTGCCGGAAATGAACTATTCTCGACGCCTTGGCCCTTTCTAATGTTATGTAGAGCTGCTAGAGTAATAAGCGTTAGACACGACCAAGACGCCAATTACAGTTATCTAAAAATATATTTTTATACATTTTTGCCCGCAACTTTTTAAGTATCTGTGGATTTTGAATATTAAATTAGATCATCTCTAGATGGCGTATCAAGATAAAACATACATTACATTCTAAGTTAGAGTTTTGGCAATGTAACTATGAAAACCGCATCTAATTGTTTGAAGTTGTAGTCATTTATTGATGCCAGAACAAAAATTGTTTTGGCTTCTATGGGTTTTATTAAGAGCCCTATTAGGTTGTCTCCTAAGTACAGATATTGTCTAGTTTCAATTTTATTATATATTTAGATAATTATCAAGTAGGTAGGTAGGACTATATTTCTCTGGTCCCTCGAGCCGGATTAGTGAGTGGTGTTGTTGTTTACGTTATGACCGTTACCAGATGGGCTGTCAATTACCATTACTAATGCCATAAAAAAGTGACGTTACCTTAGTCGTCGTGAGTTTAAAATTGACCGATATCAAGAACTTTGCGAAAATTTAGATATTCAACTAATTGACGGAAATAAATGTTAGAGGCTGTTGAAATTTATTCACTGGATAATGTAGGAAGCTCAATCAATAAATCAATAATGTAGTGACAGTATTAATTTATATAAAAAAATATCGTTAATTATGCTCATTATGGAGGCAGATAACTTTGAATCTTTTCTTGTAACAGGCAATATGGATGACTTTTGTTTAGCAATATATAATAAATGGCTGAAATAGTGATGACGTTTGTAATTCGATGATAAAGAATACGTGCACAAAAATTCAGGAAACTATGAAATAGGATTTAAAGTTCTGGTCATACATTTTAATGTCTTTTATCGGGAAAGGTGTGCTGCCATCGTCGCTGTCTGCGATCGTTAATATAGAAACTGCGGGCCGTTAATGGTTTCCTAAGTCATTCAGATGTTTTCCTCGCTCGAGTGCATGGCGCGGTATTCACAGCCTGTCGGCGGAATGCGCCTATTACGAGAGTTCCGCCTTTAGGATGCGCCTGCGCCGCCGATAACTTGGCGGGAATCTATGTGGCGGTCTCCGAGATGGGATGTAGCGATTAGGAGTTAGAGAAATTCTTTTAAAGTCGACGTTCAGAAATTTTTATCTTATTTGGTTGCTTATAGTAATATGTAGATCTTTTCAAACGTTTATATAATATTACTAGCTGACTCGGCAAACGTTGTTTTACCATATACATTATTTCGAGCACTATACATGAGAATTTATCCTACTACAATTATTATATTGGATTACCATCTTGCAATCTATAAACCTTACCTTATAAAAATCGCGATTAAAAAACAGGGGTTGATCATGAAAACGTGAAAATTTGAATTTGTACGTATTTTTCAATGCTAAACCATAATGAAATATAAATGTAAAAATTTGTCAAAAAAAATAAAAAAAAAATGTTTCGGGGAGAGTCACCATTATCATTGAGGGGTATAAAAAATAGATTTTGGCCGATTCTCAGACCTACCCAATATGTGCACAAAATTTCATAAAAATCGATAAAGCCGTTTCGGAGGAGTTTGGTAACAAACACCGTGACACGAGAATTTTATATATTAGATATATGAAATTTATATAAATGAAAATGAATTGCCAAAATCTTTATATGTAAAGTGATACGCTTAGCATTACTTTAGAAATGCGGCATCTCTATTTTATTTTTGTAACATAACGCAAAGAAAATGTTTAGAAAATTGTACAGAAAAGTGAAAAATTTAGCTTAATAAATGGTGAAGACTTGATCTAATTTGCTTCATCAGCACACCCGTCACGAAGACGGCGCGGGCAATTACTTTATTACGAATATTAACAATTCAATTGTCAAATTTAAATGTTAAATTCTGAAATTAAAAAATATTATTAGATATGTTAATTTACATGCATAATGTTAGCTGAATATGGAACTATATTATCAAAGTGCATTTATATGTAAAATAGAGTAGTTATAATAATGGTAAGTTGGAGATTATAACTCGTATGCGAAGACAGATCTTCACGCCAGCTTCCTTACAAGGTTGATTTCTAACAATATTACATACATAATATTATCTGTCACGCCTGTCTCCTATTGGTGTAGGCAGAAACAATTGAACGCCAAATGCTTCGATATATATATATTTATATGAATGCGTACAAACACAAAGACACACAGCGAGAGACACGCATGCACCTATAGACACACGCATACATACATATATATATATATTATATTTATTAGATACCATTATTTTAAAACTTAGATTCATTCATTACTTTTGGGTCGTTTATATACTTGGGCGTCGTATAAGGCGTGTGTAGGAAAAGTCGAAATGCAGTCCTTTATTAACTGGCCAGTTTGTTTTTTCTTTTAAGGTATGTATATTTAAGGTATTCTATTAAGGAAATTGTCGTATGGTTCTGATGTAGAACAGGCCATTTGCTTTCTTTCTAGTAGGTGTCGTAAGTGGTTAATAGTCGAGGGATGTGTAGCAGCGTTCCTCTTAATATATCACCAAAGCCTAACTGCGGTTGTCAAACCGCCGCCGAAGCGTGGCAACACTGGCAAAACTTTTTTTTATAGAATTTTTTATATTTTTTTCTTTTTTTTTTATATTTTTGTCTGGAAGAGATTGCTTAGCGATAAGGTCACCTTTTGTATCATTTCTTATTACAGTTAACTGTATTTACTATTTTATAAATGGTGCAAAAAAGTGTAAATAAATAAATATAGAGAAGGCTTATGTTCAGCAGTGGACAGTTACCGGTTGATGTAATAAGAACATCAAAGTAAAGCGAAAAGCCTTGCTGTAATCTCCGTAAGTGTGAAACTAAAGAATTTTTGTTTTTATAAATCATTCTCGTTTTTGAGGTTAGTTAGATAGATAGATAATTTATTTACATTACTTACAGCACATAAATTACAATACAAACATACACATAATACACAATAAAAGAGATAAGAGAATGAAAATAAAAAAAGCAACAAAAAAAAAAAACAAAAAGCAAAATATATAAACCAACAATTTCCTTTCTTTCTTTCCCTTCATACGTGTGCCATAGTAACACAAAATGGTCACAACTCAGTTTATTGCTTTGCCCTCAAAAGAGCAAAACACTGATATTCTGTTGTGGCCAAGAGTCAGTCGCGAAATACAAATGTGGGGGGAAAAGGGATTGTTAATAATGCAGACTGAGAATATCATTGCTATCAATATACCCAACCAGGTCGACCTCCTTACTGGTCTCTCCATTAATTCTTGATGAATTCATCATGATGGGCTAACTGGCCTGTTTTCATCCTCATCGATCACCCTTCACTGGTGCCCCGGCAGCGTATCCCATTAGCACAGGCGGGGTTACCACTCCATTTTCACTCTCATCAATACAAATGTTGCCAGACTTACCGTACACTGAAATAATATTTTTTTTTATTCTCTATCTAAGAGATTGTCAGATATAAACCCTCCCGCTGGTGTTTATCACATATACCAAAGGACTCCATAAATCTTTACTATTCCCTTGTTATTAACGAAAGAAATTCCAAGAAGAGTAAGCCGTTAACTAGCAAGTAATGAGGTTTTAGATTATTTTCCTTTTAACAAGAGACGGTAGTTCGAGTAGTTTATGATCTGTCGTAGTTTATAAATTAAACGACATAGCCACGTAGGTAACGTAGCTATGTCAGCTACGTTACCTACGTGGTAGCTTTAGTTATAAACAAAAAATAGTGTTGTTAAAAAGGTTTTAACCTTGGAAAAACTAATTATTATTATTTAAAAACTAAATTATTGAAGCGATTTTTAATTAATGTCTTTGGGACTAATCCGAAATCATATCTTTTCAGATATTGACGGTATTTCCAAATCGGTCCATTAATGATGAAGTTATGAAGTAACAAACAAAAAAAACGTAATCGAATTGAAAGGTTCCTTCTTTTTTGAAGTCGGTTAATAATATTCACCATTAAATAAATAGCAATTAGGATAACTAAAGCATATTACGTCATACCTCTATT